TTTATAAAACACATGATAAAGAATATGCGTATATTTCGCCGACGCTTTGATCTTATGTCCAATAAAATATAAATTAATTTTTCTCGGATGTCTGTATTTTCATTGATTTCTTTTAACGTTCTAGAACGGGGATAGAACGAGTGGTGCCGAGAGTTTTTTGCCTGGCTAAGCCTGGGGAGCTGAGGTGCGAAGCGAGGGAAGGAGATTGTTGTACGTAAAAATCGCGATAACGATATAAGTAGCTGAATTCGGCAAGCTGAAGCGGGATGGTGGTGGGGTGTCCCAAGTCCGAGGCAGAAACCGCATGTAATCGAGCGCCTAAGTAAACGAGTTCGCGTCTTAATCGGTCCACCCCTCCCCAATCCTACTCGTACTTAACTACTCGTAACTAAAACGCAAACTCGTAAACATTTTCGCCAATATCCCCTCCAGCCTCGGCTCATCTCTCGTTGTGGGTGGCTCAATGAGGAGGCAATCAATCTCCCGCATCAGTCCCTTTCGCCACGCTCGCGCTTTCCTTTCCCACAGTCGACCACGGGCCTCAATTAGCCCGAGAACGACTAGTCGCGCCGGTCTTTGTCGCCTACTAAGAAGCGAGCTTATTAACAGCGGGGGTCGGCATTGTCGAGCCGAGGGAACGGGAGCGCGCTCGAGAGGATGGTCAGGGCGCTGTTTTGGACGCGGCGTCGCCCCGAACAATGCGGGGGCGTTAAGCCGCGCGGCTCGGTCAAGCGGCTTCCGTCCCCGGTGCGTCTATGCCGAGCTCTCGAGGCTCTTGAGATTGATCGACGGAGGGCGAGGAGGCGACGAAGACGCGACCCGACCTCTCCGCCCTTGCAAGTGCACACCCCTGTTGCTGCAGTCAATGGCCAAGCCGACAATGGGTAGTAGCCGGGGGAGGGGAGATCCGTACGTGCAAGCCGGCCGGGTGATTTGAGCGATGGGCCGCGGCTTTATCGCCTCGTTACCTGCTGGGCGAGTCCTGAACAGAGCCGGAGATGGATCGGCACCTGTTTCTCTCTTTGTTTCTTAAGCGATTGCAGCTCGTGACGGCTCGGCCTTTGTCGTGCTTGACTTGGGGACGGGTGGCGAAATTATTGGAAACGCAATCTATAGGCGCGTACTTGTGTCGTTGCTTAGTCTGCTCTGTACATTGTGTTGCGGACTTGTGTACAAGCAATTGTTGTAGCTTGGTTCGTTCGGGCCGTTGGCGGGTCGGACGGGGACGGAAGGGGATTGGGGGTAGCGATGAGGGGGTTGGGGGTTGGGGGATTAGGAGGATGGGGAGGATTCAACATTTACGAGACAACAACGTGACCGATCGCTTGTTTTCGTTTGTAGCCAATGTAATTTAAATAATAATATAATGTATATACATGGCATTATTAGGTTGAGTCTTTGAAACGTCGTTTCGAAAGTTCAATGAGAATTTACCGACTCGCTAAGATTATGAATAAATAGAATGGCCAGATATTAAACAGGCGATAATTTATAAATTATGTAGGTTTATTTGGTTAAGGATGAAATATATACGAATTCATTAACGTCCTTATTTTGCATTTGTACTAATTATTTAGATTTTAACGCCGATATTATTCGTGCCTTTGCATAAAAGTATCCACGAAGAATTTACATATATCTCTGCTTTTTGCTTATAATTTGAATAATCGTGAGCATTTCTTGTAAATGTTAAGAAAAAAATAAACATTACCGAATAACCGCTTTCCTACAATAATCTAAATAGAAGAATCTGAATAGAAGAATTAAATCCAACTATGATATAACATTTGAAATATGCAAATATTTTAATTTTGAAAACGTATTATTTATTAATAAATAAATTGTGCTTTAATAGTTAGTGCACTTTGAAAGAACAATATTATAAGTTCAAATATGAGGGGCTAGAAGGATAGGAGTAAAAAAAAAAAAAAAGAAATGCGATTTTATGCTTCGCGAAGCAAATATATCGATTTACCGGCATATTATCACACGTATATTTTCTGCAATTTAATTACAAATAGCGAAATATTTTCTTAAAATTGAAAAAGTCTTTAAATATCTGTTTTCTCACTGCTATTATTATTAATACTATGAACGGTAAAAGACTTAATATACCTAAAAAAAAAAAGGAGAGAGGTTTCTCTAAAATAAGTATTGTAGTAAAAAATATGCAATATAATAAACTTGTTTTTTTCTTTCATTGAAAAGCCATTAATTTTTTTAATTTATCATTTGTATGATAAAATATAATTAAAATATATAATCAGAAATATAGTGAGCATATTCGGTAACATCTATTAAAGCCTCAATTTTTTAATAAATTCATGTACAAGAATTATGTTTTAATATGATGACAATTATGTTCGTAAATTTGTTTGCAAACGTACACACGCGCGCGCGCAACGTTAAATTTAACATCTTCGACTAATAGTTTTATTTACTAATAGCATTTCAAAATATAAAAATATGGTTAGTGTAAATTTAGAAACAATAACAATAATATGAGCACTAATGCGAGCGTGCCTAAGAGAAAAACAAAGCCAAGGCAATATTTATAATAGCATTACTCTCAAAAGCATAATTTTTGTTTGGCGTGCTTAGCATGACTTAACGATATTTTTTTAAACAAAAAAAGATATTCTCTCCTATTTCAAATAAGAATCTATCCTTTAAAAACTATAATTTTCTAAAATTATTGTAAACACGCAACAGTTAAATTTCTTTAGAATGCTGTAATTACCTTCTTTTTCTTTTTTGTTTTTCTCTCATAAATGCATCGAGCATGTCCGCAACATTTTACAACGTGAACGAATATAATTGGTAATTATTCAAGGCTCATTTTTTGTTTTTGTTTTTTTGTTTTGTTTTTTTTTGTTTTTTTAATTTATTATAACATATGACGCTCCGTATCATTCAAGAGCTTCTGGCATTAACAACAACGAATGTTTATTATAAGCGACACATTATGTCACCATGAGCTAGCTCTAACACAGTCGTGAGCGTGGAAATACAATTTTATCAAATTAATATACTAGACGCCCTCAAAAACGAAATGGCAGTCCTCAAATCGCCAAAGAGTCGTCATTTAATACTAGCGCACCCACCCTGCGTATGTGCGGTGGACGGTGGAACAAGGCCATTGGGCGCCACGCAAATAAGCTTGCGACCCTAAACCGACTACTCGCTGCGGCTAGAAGGGAGAGAAAGCGAGAGCGAGATAATGAATAATATCATGGATAAGCAAAAGGGTCAGCGGGAGTTGAGCTTTAATCGTAGAGTGCGCGCGGCCCGTGACCTCCGGGGAAGTTTCACCGAGTTGAATGTACATTCCGGACGGAGCATCTGCGGGCGCGACAAGCTGTCGCGAGTTTACGAAATCCGGCGCAAAAGTTGTCCTCCCCAACCGAACACCGAGAGCCTTTAATCTCTGGGTGCGTGCCCCGGCCGATTTTGAGGGTGCTCCTGCACTAATGGATATCCATCCAGGAAGCGGCAACTTTGGCGCCCTCGTGCTCTTTCGGTGGACAATTATTATCCGCCGGCGAGGCGTACGCACCCTAATTACACATCGTCATGATATTCGCTGCGCTTCATCTTTCTCGCGCCTGCCTAATGTTAATAAACAGCGACTCGGCCAAGCGTAATCTTCAGCGATCTTTCTCTTTGGCATTTGTCCGCTTGGAGTTCCGAGTGGATCTCGATCTTTACGTTCTAGGGCATTATAACCTATCGCAACCTCTTATCTAACTCATGATATTTATAGAAAAAATGGTCCTTGTACATCGTACAAAGCTACCGAAGCGGTATATTTGTAAAGTTATCGCTTATCGTTGATATGATGATTGCCGACCATGTTAATACGAGAGTCAAAGCCAAAAAATCATTTCACTGACTGGAATGTCGTTTTGATGAAATTGTAATGTAATCAGTAATCACATGCACATGCATTAAACAAACATCCTTATCGATCGAATTGACATTAGACGTTAAAATCGATAGCCATTTGTTAAAAATAATGAAAATTTCATTTAATCAAGCTATTGTTTACATTTTCAATGTTGCAACAATTCAAACACATGTGCATAATAAAATCGATTGTTTAATAATGAATTCTCCAAAGATATTGAAACGAATTGTCCTAAAGAACTGTTTATATTTAAAAAAAAATAAAAAAAAAAAAAAAAAAAAAAAAAAAAAAAAAAAAAAAAAAAAAAAAAAAAAAAAAAAAAAAAAAATTAAGAACAGTGTGATAACAAGTATTATTTGTTCAAGATACGAACGACATGTAAAATATATTCTTAAATAAGTAGAGTATTTATCAATTCGATTGTAAAATAAAAGAAATAAATTTACTTTCGATCAAAGCTTCCTTCGCTCATCATAAGCGAAATTGATTAAAAAATATTTGTCAAAAATCATGCAAAAAATACTTGTATCAGACTCTTGCCTATAAATCAATTGTAATATATATTTTTCAAACAACGACACCCCTTCACAATTGCTTCATGAAAAAGTATGTTTTTAATTTTTGACATTATTTGCAAGACGGTATGTGTCAACGGAATGGAACTGAGAAATTCTCAAGCTACTCAAAAGGTTCAATGATTCATGCCAACGTGGCTCAATAAATTTGTAATGTCGGTATTCTCATTTTATAAGCTTTGGAAAGTACTTTCTTTAAAAGTGCACTCGTTCAATTGCGATATCGCGTGTGATTGAAATTCCGACGACAGACAACGAGAGCCGTAGATAAGTGTAGAAGAAAAACAAACAAAAACAAACAAAAACAAACAAAAAGCAAAAAAAAAATAAAAAATAAAAAAACAAAATAAAAAAACGCAAGTAAAATATGATGAGAAAGCGTGTTTGCTTTACGGACGATTTAAAAAGCCAAACAAACATATTCGGCGAAAATATCGTAATGTCGAATATACGACGAAAATGCCAGGACCCCAAGATCTATGTACCATCTAACGCAGCTTCCATTTTTCGAATTCCAGGCTAGTACCGGCCTCGGCGCGGCGCATATGGAATGGCGGCCCGCGCCTCACCGGGCGACGAGCAACGGCGGCTCCTGGGCCTACTCGCCCTTGGCCTCGGTCTCCTGCTCCTCGCCATCGGTCCAGCGAGCGCGGGCCTCTGCCCAGTACGTTGCCGCTGCGACGATGAGTCGCTGCGCTCGAGCTGCGCCTACGGCGGTCTCGACGTCGTCCCCATTCAGCTGAACCCAGAGATCCGTCACCTGGACCTCTCGGGCAATCGTATCGCCGGCCTTCACATGGCCTTCGACTTTTACGGGAGTCTCGAGAGCCTCGACCTTGGCTCCAATCTCATCCATACCCTGGGCTCGAACAACTTCCGGCTGCAGCAGCGGCTGCTCAGCCTCAATCTCAGTGGGAACGCGATTCGCGCCCTTGCCAAGACGGCGCTACACGGGCTCGCGGCTCTGCGCACCCTCGACCTATCCTCGAACAACATAACCGAGGTCGACGAGCAGGCCTTCCGTTACACGAGCGAGCTCGAGTGGCTCGACCTCGGCGGCAACGGCATCACCAGTCTGCCCGCGGGTCTGCTCCGCAATCTCCATCGCATTCGCAGCCTCGTCCTCAAGGGCAACTCCCTGCTAGAGGCCCCGGCATCTAATCTCGCCCTAGCCCCGAGCCTCGAGCGACTCGACCTCTCGGACAATCTCGTGCAGGAGCTCGGTAGGGACTCGCTGCCATCGCTACCGGCCCTCGCCCGACTCGACCTCGCCAACAACGTGCTGCGTAGCATCGCCGACGAGGCCTTCGAGCGGACGCCCGGGCTCCAAGGACTCGATCTTTCCGGCAACAATCTGACGTCGGTGCCGAGCAAGGCCTTGGCGAGGCTCGCTGTACTGGGTGCCCTCGCCCTCAGCAAGAATCCCCTTGGGGAGCTGCGCGAACTCGCCTTCCGCAACCTCTTCGAGCTGCGCACCCTCGAGCTCAACGAGTGCGCGATCGGACGTGTCGCCGGCCGCGCCTTCGCCGACAACGTCAACCTCGAGAGGATTTCGATGGAGGGCAACCGAGATCTTACCGAGCTGCCGGCCAGGCTCCTTTACGCCGCTGGCAGCCTAAGGTGCGTACTTCTACCCTTACCTAACCCGCTTACTCCTCCACTAATACAATATACTTGAAATTTTTCCCATCCGACTCGCCACCACTTATCCACCACTTATCCACCACTCCCTCGATTTTGCAAGCATAATATTTTTCGCGAAAACAATTTGACCAAAGTGCGTGCTGTCTTAGCTTCCCCTCCCCCCGTCTGTTGCATTTTACGCGATGGCCGACGAGTTCGAGAACCTTTCAAAACACCTTCGTTGAAATTGCTTCGAGTACGGTTGCCGCTTCCGCGTCGAAACGATACACACAAAAGAGACTTTCGTTCGACAGACGAATTATCTCCATCCCTTTCTCATCCAAATAGAAAAATAAGCATTTTGTATTTTCAAAGTAAAATTCGAATTGTTTGTATTTGTTGATCGACTAATAGTCACGCGCAAGGCTTTCCTCATTATCGTCTCACTATATAATAAGACCATATAATTTTCTCATTTTTATTCATCCGTCTTTTGATCTGATATATAGATGCATAGATAGATAGTTAAATTGATAGAGTGAGTGAGTGAGTGAGTGAAGAGTGAGAGTGAGAGTGAGAGTGAGAGTGAGAGTGAGAGAGAGAGAGAGAGAGAGAGAGAATTGACGAAACTAAAATTATAAGAAATACACGCCCGTAGAGAAAAATTCGTATTTAGCGAAAGGGAAAACTTCTAAAATGACGAGGCAGAAACAGTTTCACAGAAGCAAATATGTTAAATCACAACCGCAGGAGAGAGTCGCCGATGCACTTACTTATCTTGTACTTCCCGCTCGCTGGGAAAACCGATAAAATCGAAATAATCACTTTTAGCGCGTTTCTCGCGCTTTTCCCGATTCGCGGGTACCGGCTACCACGGACCGACAGCTCTCTATACTTTTGAAATAACAATACGCTCCAATCAACTTCCTACCCACCCAAAAAAACAAAAAACAAAAAACAAAAAACAACCAAAAAAACAAAAAAAAAAAACTAGAAAAAAAAAGGTCAGCAAGGAGAGCAAAGGAGGCGGCGAAAGCCTCGTGGCTACGCGTACAAAGTGCGCCCATCAACGACTAAATACCGTGTAGTTGAAAAAACAAAAAAAAAATCCCACACAGAGACGCGTACGAAACAAAAGTCTCCCCCCCCCCACGCTCCATCCATCCCAACACTTGCATTCCCTCGCGTTTCTAGCGCGGCGCTCGCTCTTGCGTAAAGGTAAACGCATCGGAACTCACCCTCAATCAGAGAACGATAAATTACAGCGTAGTCTGGCGACGGCGTGTTAGCGCGACTCCACTGCCGTACTGCAGTTTTACCTCTCCGACTCTCTAACCCTCTCCCCCCCTCCCCTCCCCTCATCCTCCACCTCTCAAACCACCCCAATCACCCCGAACTACCGAGCCACCGCACGATCCAGCCCCGCCCCGTTCTTTCTCATCCCAGCATACCTCGTCTCTTCTCATCGTCGCGCCACGCCGCTCCATCCACCGCCAATTTTTTCTCCCCTTTACTCTACCCTAGCCTCGCTCTCTCTCTCTCTCTCTCTCTCTCTCTCTCTCTCTCTGCTCTGCTCTCTCTGCTCTGCTCTCTCTGCTCTGCTCTCTCTGCTCTGCTCTCTCTGCTCTGCTCTCTCTGCTCTGCTCTCTCTGCTCTGCTCTCTCTGCTCTGCTCTCTCTCTCTCTCTCTCTCTCTATCTCTATCTCTCCGATAGCGACAACGCCAAACCGTACCCACTATACCACGCTTTCATTCGCTCGCGTTTCATCTTCTCTTTGTCCTTCATGCTCTGTCTATTTGTTTGTCTAAATGTGTACCTTCGTCGCCCCGTTCGCCTCACTTCTCCCTAAATTTGCCTCCTCCCTTCTTTTCTCCCTATCAGTCTGCTTTCCACCTCGCACGCACACGCACGCACGCACGCTCACACACCCTGTCTTCGAGGTGAAAATAAACTTACTTTGAGATTAGCCATTCAGACAAATATATGTTGTTAATCGCCTACTCGATGTTATTATTTTCAACTTTGTATTCTATATTTATTTTTAGTTTTCACTGCCGCGAGTCGCCTCTCATTCTCTCTTCGGAGATGATTGTCCTCCTATTATTACAATTCCTTTAATTTACATCGTTAAATTAATTGGATAATACGAAAATAGTTTAATAAAGCTCTGATAAATCATTTAAATATGAAACGTCGCCGCCATTCGATGGCTCGAGGCAAAATTATTTTATACAGTTAGTATTCAATTTTTAATTCTCCTCGCACAACAAAGTGTCTACAAATTTCTAAAATAACTTGGATTTTTATAATTTCATTATAATGACATAAAAGTTTTGTTAAAATTTTTTTTTATCCAAACTTTTCCATAAAATTTCTATCTATCCACGCCTATGATAAAGTCAGCGAATTATTAATTTTACTAATACTATAGTAACCATGCCCGTGTATTATAAGCATTTAATACGAATGAATTAATTTTCTGTATTAGAGAAAGAAAAAAACAATAGATCTATAAAATATAAAAAGTTGATTCAACGAGCCGCAGTATTTCACCTTTAATATCAATATCTTCAAAATTTTTATTAAATTGACGAAATGGTTAAAAAAAAAAAAATAGAGAAGAAAAAAGACATATCATAGATATTTTTATCACACGTTTATAATCTAAAATTATAAGCGTCCTCATTTTTTCAGCTCCATAAAACTAAAAAGTATAAAATTCCTATTTATTTTCCTATAAATTCAATGCTCTAGACCGTGCTTTATTCATTGTTTACGTACCTTTTTTCTTTTATCATATTTTCTCTATTTCCACTTTTATACACGCGACTGCTTTATCATGTCCACTATTTCTATTTGTTTGCTCATGTGCCTTTACGCTGGTTTTCGATAAATTTTCCAGTTCTCTTTTGTACTCCCTTTTCTCATTACGACTGGTACATATATTTTCCATACAAACGCTAAGCATTGGCGCATTTTTTACAACATTTATTGTAAGTACAAACACTTGAGCTGTTCTTACTTACATGTCCTTAATTTATGCAGCTTCACATAAATTGAATATTTTAAGTTGAAAATAAAATTAATTTAAAATATTTCTACATGCTCTCTGCCAGTTTCCTGTTTTCTCTCCTTATAATTTACTGTCTATCTATTTCTGTTTATTTCTCCTTTCCACACGCAAATACATCAACATATCTATATATATATATATATATATATATATATATATATATATATATATATATACATACATGTATAGTAATCCAATAATGTCGGTTACAACCCACCAACAGCCCACACTCTACTACACGAACATGTATTACGCGCATGCAGACGTAATGCAAATGACAAACATACCTATTTGAGGCTGTGGAAGACTGTATAGATGTATTTGTCCATAGTCTAGGTAAAGTGAAATGGAACATAGATAGATAGATAGATAGATAGATAGATATATAGATAGATGGATAGATAGATAGATAGATAGATAGATAGATAGATAGATAGATAGATAGATAGATAGATAGATAGATAGATAGATAGATAGATAGATAGATAGATAGATAGATAGATAGATAGATAGATAGATAGATAGATAGATAGATAGATAGATAGATAGATAGATAGATAGATAGATAGATAGATAGATAGATAGATAGATAGATAGATAGATAGATAGATAGATAGATAGATAGATAGATAGATAGATAGATAGATAGATAGATAGATAGATAGATAGATAGATAGATAGATAGATAGATAGATAGATAGATAGATAGATAGATAGATAGATAGATAGATAGATAGATAGATAGATAGATAGATAGATAGATAGATAGATAGATAGATAGATAGATAGATAGATAGATAGATAGATAGATAGATAGATAGATAGATAGATAGATAGATAGATAGATAGATAGATAGATAGATAGATAGATAGATAGATAGATATATAGATAGATGGATAGATGGATAGATGGATAGATAGATAGATAGAGAGAGTGTGTGTGTGTGTGTGAGAGAGAGAGAGAGAGAGAGAGAGAGAGAGTGAGAGTGAGAGTGAGAGTGAGAGTGAGAGTGGGAGAAATAAGGGCGAATGCATATGTACAATTGAACAGAGAACAAGACGTTAAAAAAGATGCACGGATGACAAACAGGAAAATTTGTTTTTATTATTATTTGCAATATATATATAATTTATTTCTAATAAAATTAAATGCAAGAAAATTATTTTACAATTACTTGCTTCTATCGTACTTAAAAATATTGCTGAAAAAAAAAATAATTCTTTAAATGGAAAAATACGTACAAAAAATAAAATACATAATACAAAAATGATATTTCAAATGTTGAAAAATTATTTTTCATCATTATAAACTTTCTTTAACATAGCGTTATTTTTTTAACTAATTAACAATAAAAAAATGTTAGTTGCAATAATTTAATATGACTTTCTTAGATAGATACCACTTGCATATGCCATTAGAACTTTATAGAGTAAAGGCTAAAACCGCCATTAGGAATTAGCAAATATTTACAGGTAAATATTAAGAAAATTTATATTTCGTAATAAAAAAGGGAAAATATTGAAAATGAATATGATTTTTATTTATTTATAAAAGGCGACGTACAATAATCAATAATAAATTCAGTTTCTTAGATTCTGTCAATGTAATCAAAAATGTAAGTGACAGTTTAAAATTCTTTAACTTCTATTATACGTCGAGTGTTGAAAATTTAATATAAAGAAAATGACGTTTAATGTTTTAAGTGTCAATAATTCTTCAATATAGAGCATTTAACAATAAGGTTTATCATTTACGTATTAATAAATATATTTTAAATAAAGCGTATAAGTTTTTAAAATTTTTCATAGTTGTATCAAAGGCTTAATAAATTCTCCCGAACATTTAATTATATTTTTTATACAAAATGAGTATTGTTAATTAAGTTCATTCATCTCTTTTTTTTTTGAAAATTCTTATTAAACAAAAATGTATATTACATTCTTTCATGAAAATTTCGTCATTTTTAACTTCTCACGCGTTGAACATTTTTCTACTTTTGTACCGAGCCAACAGAACGATAGAATTTTACATTATTTTAAATACTTTAAGAGCGCGTAGGAAGAAATTTTGCATTTAGAAGTATGAAAAATTACGACAGAATTATATTATGCGTTAAAAGTATAATAACACAGAGATATATTTTTTAAAAATGTGTCTATTTTCTTATGGTATTTTATCATTAAAATACTGTCGCTAAGACTTTAAATGGCTTAAATTTTATATGAAACTATTTTTCTTACTTCATTCAAATTTTAATCGACAAAAAGCTGCGAGGTGGATAATTTCCTTAATATTTCAATATCCGTGCACCCAGCTAAATACAATAATAAATAAGCCGTCCAATTACGTATATAATTTATCGGCTCTGTCAGCGAAAAATTTTAATCAATAGGATAAAACTCGCGGTTCCATTCGCATATGAGGAACACGACTAAAGCATTGGACGCGGAGCGTTGGACGGTGCGCTGGCGTGATGGAGGAAGGGAGGGGAGGGGAGGGGGGTAGGGGGTTTTTTTTTTTTTTTTTTTTTGGTGGTGGGGGGGGGGGGGGGGGGGGGGGGGGCTGACGGGTTACGTCGAATTTTATAGGGTCCGGAATATGTGAGTGAGCTCCGCAGTTCGTCCTTCCTTAAAAAAAAATCTATACAATGTATAATAAAAATGAGACCGCCCTTGAATTCTCAGGTGGGTTTCATTACGACGATGCAACCTGGCCAGCCTTCAGCCCACGCATTTCCCCGTGGACGGTCTGACGTCGTTGCGCGTAGGTGGCAATCCCCTCGTCTGTAACTGCTCGGTCCATTGGCTGTGGAACGTTCTGCGTGCGGAGGAGCGGAGAAATGGCTCGCGACTCGAGCTCGACAGCCAGGAGATCGTCTGCGCGGACGAGGAGTTCGCGGGCAAAATACTCATGAGCCTACCCGAGGGCTCGTTGCGCTGTCGGCTCAGTCCGCTCTATCTCTCCCTTTCGGCCTTGGGCTGCCTCGCCGCTACCGCGGCTATCCTCGGTCTCGTGGCCCACGTCACGAGGTCCAAGCGAAGGAAGCGAGTACCGGCCTACGCGGCTCCTACCAGGCCCGAGCTCCTCGTCTACGTGGGTCGAGCCGGTGATGAACTACCCGGCAAGCATCAGGAGTCCTACAGCCGTAGGCTCATCGCCAGAACCGAAGATCTCGTCTACGAAGCGGCCAATCAAGGTACGTACACTTCTCCGTATCATTAAACTCGGCAAATCGCCCTTCTTCTCACCTACGAGGTCTGGTTTCGGGTTGGCAAACTGGGATTCCTAAGCCACCCGGACCATGCTCCATCGAACTTTTCGCGTCTCTGCGTCTCGTCGTTACGTAAATTACGTATTAAATTGCGATGAAGGGAAGAAAGAGCAGAGGGAAAAAAAATTGGAAAGCGAGTAACCCAGTGTAAATTTATCACAGAGTACCAGCAGTCACGGCGGAAGTCCGGTAGCGAGTCACCGGAATCACGGGAGACGAACGTGTACGAGACACCGCGTTACTCACGCCCAGGACGACGCGAGGCCGAGCAAGCCTTTGGGACGTTTTACCAACAGCAAAGGCCCCCCTCGCCCACGGGCCTTTCCAATCAGCAGCAGCTGGGTTACCCGATGACCCCGGAGACGCGCCCCAAGCCTCAGGAGGGTGTCTACGCAGTCGCGGACGTCACAAATCTGAGGCACGAGCAACCGGCCTCGGAGCTGCTCTCGCTCTATCGAATGCGCAACACCGGTCATCATCATCATCATCATCATCAGCGGGTCGAGGATCCCACGGGCCGTGACTACGGCTACGACTACGAATACGATTATGATGCGCCGCTGCCCCCGCAGAAGCCGCACGTCGTCTTCGTCTAAAGGAGGCGAGCCCGGGACGCTACGCTTTGCCGTGCGCGCTACGTTTCCTCTTTCCATCCGTGGCTCGCTTCCTTTGTTTTTAAGCGCGGCTCTTCTCCTCGACGATGTCGGCACTCCTTTGACTTTGTCCACGTGCCCATCGACGAAGCAGCTCAGCCGCGCCAGCTCTTTATTGCTTTTGTTGATCCTGTATAAGTGGATGTATGAGTTGAGCGTTCGATTATTACGGTCCTGGAATGCATTGTGGGATACCACTGGAACTCATCTTGATTTTCGTTTCGTTGGCTTTTCGTCCCTTGGATTCGTTCGTTACGCGGCCCCAGCCAGCCTAACTACAATGCTCTAGATGCAAATCAGCATTATGCATATCATCACGCGGCATTTCAATTCAAAGGTCAATTTTTTTACCGAATACTTGTCGGGCCATTGTCACTGCGACGAGGCTATTAATGCAATAAGGATAAAGTCAAATTAATTATTTTAATGGGTGCTTCAGCCATTGCATTATGAATTGTAAAGTTCCAGCGATGTCCTTTGGTACATTCACGGGCCGATTCGTTACATTTATAATTCATTCGCTGGTGTAAGATGTGTACTTACCTTGTGACTGATTATAGTACATCGTTACTATATAATAATTAATTTAAGGGTTTTTACTTTGTTTATATTCTAAGCACTATGAAAATAGGACGTATTATTTCAATGTAAGCAATTGTAAAAATAATTAAAAATATCTTGGTAAATATTTTCAATAATTGAAGTTGTTTTGTATTGATTATTCGTACAGAGAGTGCTATGCATCTTTAATAGCTGTCAAACGGTACTTTGACAAAGTACAGTAATTACAAAAACTTATATATATATATATATATATATATATATATATATAAAAATAGAAATTGTCGAATAGTAAAAATAAGGCTATTTAAAGAAAGTATAACTACTCCGCCCTAATATTCATTACAAGGTGTAACGTTACAGGTAAGCTTCCGAGAGCAAAAGTATGGGTTAAAACTAGTTGAGAGTCAGATCTTATTTACTATATTTAATCAATAAACGTCCTTTTTCAAAATCATCGATAATTAAAAATATGAAATGCATATATTCATACCTACAATTTATATATATTTATTTATTTATTTATTAAGTAAAAAATATAGTACAATTTGTCATTGTTAAATGAACAATTTTTGAAACAGTTCTTTAAACATTAATATATTAATTCCAAAAATATTATATCCAGATTAGGTATTTACTTGAATTTTTTTTTATAAGACTCGCAAATTTATTGTTTAAACGCAGACATATTTTACGTAAAGTTCTATAAAAAGTTAATAATTGTAATGAGTTTTTATTCTCTTATCTTTACCAAGAAACTTGGAGGCTGCCGCAACTTTATATTAGTATCTAATTGATTTGAAGCGCCGAAGAACTTTCCAATAGAGATCGGTAGTGCGAGCAACAAAACTTTTTTACGTAAAGCTCAAATCCTCGGGACAGCGGTTACTGCGAAAAAAGGACAAAAGTAAATATTAATAACGATAATAATAACGATAACGATAACGATAACAATAACAATAACAATAATAAATAAACAAACAAACAAACAAATAAATAAATAAATCAACCAATCAATCAATCAATCAATCAATCAATCGATCAATCAATCGATCAATCAATCGATCAATCAATCAATCAATCAATCAATCAATCAATCAATTAATTAATTAATAAGTAAATATTACAATGATAATAGTAATAATGATAATAATTATTATTTAGATAAAGAAATCCAAGTAAAGACCTAATTAAAGGATAATCTCGTGGTATAGAAAGTCGGCACCTCGGCATCGAGTGTTACTTGGAGCGTTGAAGAAAAATCAGAAACTTATATTAAAGTTGCACAATAGCCGAGATCGTACGAGGCGGCCCGAGAAATCCTCGCTCGCAAATGATTATCGATCTTGGCGAGCTGCACGGCGGTTGAGATTCGAGAAGAAGTCACCAGAGCTGGGATAATAGACAAAATTGGTCGAGGCGATGAGCGGATGTTAAGTTAGTGTTGCGGCATTGTTAGCTTTGTCCGTGTGGAGGCCGTAATGCGGAACCAGAAGCTGACCCCAGGCATCCTTTGATGGCTTCGCTTTCAATGCCGCAGCCTCTGTTTCGAACTTATGAGTAAGGAAGGCGGCTTGCTATCGAACATTCTTGTAAGCTGCGATTCTTTTATTGATGCCCCGCCTTTTGCCGGATTTTGCCGGACGAACTGCCGCAAAGTTAAAAAGTTAATGCGGCTGTTATATTTATGTGATGGAAATAAAGTTTTTGTTAAGACCGTTCGATTTAGTACGGGATGCAGCATTAGAATACTTTTTCTTCCTTTATCCTTGAAGATTAACGGAATTATGCGAAGTAACGATGTAAGCTTTGAGAAGAACGTGACTCGAGCTACGTGGTATTATCAATATTTAACGTTTTTCCCTAGCGAATTCAAATAATGCGTATATTTAACGATAAAGTGTCTTGGCTAAGATTTATAAACAGCTTAAGAATATAAATTTCAATTTAATATGTAATATGGATGAATGCCAGAGTCAATATTTCAGGATAAATTAGAATGGCATTAGGAGACGTAAGGGTAAAATCCATTTTCGCGCACAGTCAGAATACATCAGTAAATAGCTAAAGTTCTATTTTAAATAATAAAGTATGTTAAAAATAGTTGAAAGCAGGCAGAAATGTATTATTTGAGCTTGTAAATAATCGTTTGAGCGCATCCGAATCGTTCGATAAATTGTAAGGAAATTTTGACGTTGTTAAAATTGAGATTAATTAATTGAAAGCTGAGTGAAAGAGAAATGATAGCACTCTGAGATTTTTTAAAAGGGTTAAGTAAGTGTTAAACGAAGAGCGCAGCAGCAATTAAAATAAAAAGCGAGTAATCATTAATGAGGGCATGCAACGGCCTTCAAACTGGAGCAATTCGTAAAGGGCCGGATGGCGGGTGGGATATAAATAATCCAGGTGAGATCGAATGGAGAAAGTAGGAGAATAAGGAGAAGAAGGAGAGGACGATGTCGAGGACTTTAACGGTGAGCAGATAACGCGAGGGTAAATAAGGAGTAGCGAGCGACGTTGGTGGCGCTGAGGAAAAAGGAAAATAAGGGCGCGAGCGCGTGGCTCTCATGCCGTGGAAGGAAGGAAGGAAGGAAGGAAGGAAGGAAGGAAGGAAGGAAGGAAGGAAGGAAGGAAGGAAGGAAGGAAGGAAGGAAGGAAGGAAGGAAGGAAGGAAGGAAGGAAGGAAGGAAGGAAGGAAGGAAGGAAGGAAGGAAGGAAGGAAGGAAGGAAGGAAGGAAGGAAGGAAGGAAGGAAGGAAGGAAGGAAGGAAGGAAGGAAGGAAGGAAGGAAGGAAGGAAGGAAGGAAGGAAGGAAGGAAGGAAGGAAGGAAGGAAGGAAGGAAGGAAGGAAGGAAGGAAGGAAGGAAGGAAGGAAGGAAGGAAGGAAGGAAGGAAGGAAGGAAGGAAGGAAGGAAGGAAGGAAGGAAGGAAGGAAGGAAGGAAGGAAGGAAGGAAGGAAGGAAGGAAGGAAGGAAGGAAGGAAGGAAGGAAGGAAGGAAGGAAGGAAGGAAGGAAGGAAGGAAGGAAGGAAGGAAGGAAGGAAGGAAGGAAGGAAGGAAGGAAGGTAATAAAAAAGCGAGAACAGTACAGGAAGCATGAAGAGGAGATGCACAAATGAAAATGTCTTCCGAGAAACAATTACGGCGCTTAGATGTGTGGAGTGGGGTGGGTGGTGCGCGCTGCGCGCCCGAGGAGGCGAGGAGGCGTCGGCGTTCCCGTACGATAATGAAAGTATGGCGTTGGAAGGGGGAGGCGCGAACGATAGATAGTAAACCGAGCGCCACGCTCTCTCCCTACACACTTAAAGATAAATCAAATGAAAGGGACGTCTCGTTAGCCGGTGAGCGGACGGTGCGCACTTTCGGCTGGCAGGGGGTAGGGCAGGGAGGTAAAAGTGTCGAAGAACGCGCTTTCGACTCACTGAGCCAGTCGATAATCCAGCCCACAACCATTGCCACACGTGTATTTGCATAAATTGATTGTGCCTGCATATTTGGCGTCGTTGGCGAATCGACGATGTGATTTATGCTCCGCCTTCTCCGGATTTATTTTTCGCAATTAATTCTTTGACCCTTGGTGTATAGGAATGGGATGCGCGAGGCGAAACCAGTTTTGCCGCTGTCTTTTAAATCAGCCCTCCCGATACTTGCATATTTATGAACAATAACGGCCCACCTTTTAATTATTAGCTTGTTAAGGAGTTAATCATTTTCCTCCTGGCAAATTGTTTTGCATAAATATCCTATTACAATATCGCATAGCCTCCACGTGTAGATCCATTCGTTCGTTTACAGTTTATCGATGAGGCTGGGTTTTCAGATTGAGGAGAATGTTTTTTTTTTTTATTGCCTTTAGCGAGAGAACCGAGGCTGTTTACAAGGCTCGAATCATTCGCACTGCGGGAATAATCGAAAATAGGGGAGGAGGCCAATGTATATATATATATATATATATATATATATATATATAGGTATTGCCTTGCTTCGAGGCGAGTTTCACACGGGTTTTTCAATAATTTTCAGGACGATCGTACATCGGGTGCATTGACAAAAGGCGGCAGACATGGTTAAAGCGCTCGATGGCGGTGCAACGGCGAACTTCCGTTGGTAGGAACGATGAAAGGTGACGAGAGAAACAAAAAAAAATGAGCGAAAAATCGACGAGGGGCTGAGGGGCGGGGATGTGTGTGTGGGGGGGGGGGGCGGAATGGGGGGGCAGAATTGAAAAAAGGACAAAGAAGAAAAAAAGAAGGCGGAATAAGGACGTAAGTAATGGGGAGACGAGTGTCTGCAGCCAAACGAATATTCTCTCGGTCGATCGAGCCAAGCGTGTAAATTAAAGCAGAAACAAACGAGATTTTATGGACAATGGCGTATTATAGAAATAAAGCATCGGTTATATTATACACGTGCATTTATTCGAGTGTAGGTTACTCGGTGCGTAGAATAGTATTATTATTTACACTACTAACGCAGTTTGAAACTCCATATTCAAATAAATACGTAAAAATACGCGTGATAAAAAATAAAAAAAAAATATATATATATATATATTTGTTTATTGTTGGAAGGAGTTTAATGTTGAGCTTGTGGGCGGGTATGGGAGCAATGACTGTAATGAAGCCAAGAGTAATGTTAGGCTTCGGAATGTGAAATATTAAGATTGACGATGGCGGAGGTGGAAGAAAGGCTATGTAAAACGTTGAGCAAGAAACAATAA